TTTCCACAAGAATTTTGGATTGTTAGGGTTACAAAGCGTAAGAAGGGTAGCAAAAAGACGTTTTAAAGAAGTAGGCATTTCGTAAAATATAGTTTCGGATAAAAATTCTTCACAATGAGTATCTCCACCTAACAAACCATGTAAAATTGCATCTTCTCGATATGTGATAACATTTACTCCATTTGAAGTACGTAGACCATGAAATGATGTTATGCCTCGAATATAATTTAAAAGAATTCGGAGGAAATATCGTTTTCCTTCAAATGGACTTATTGTAACAATTCATCCAACAACATTATTTTTTTCTAGGAGTCTAAATTTTTTTATTTGTATTCCAAACAAAATGCCTCATAAAATCTTGATCCAAAAGTGTACGAGCAAACTCATTTGTTTCATTCATTCGAAAAAATTATGTCAATATTGTCTTCTTTATACTTTCTTTGTCGATAATAGTACATAAATCATCTTCATCGTTGTATGTTACACGTTGATGATTTTCAATATGTAGTTGTAAAGTATAAACAGTGGGATAAATTTTTGATAAAGTAAACGAAAAAATCATCCACATAATTTCAGGTGGAGATATCCATCTAACAGGCTGATAAGAAGAAATTTCATCTATTTCTTTATTTGGTTCATTTGTATTGACCGAAAAAGTAATAAGATCATGCCATTTGTACACATATTTGTATAAATATTTAATAACTTTAATAGAAGAACAAACTTTAACATTAATGTGGCAGTCAAATTTTGCACTTGAATAAAAATTATATGGTACAACACAATGATTGTCTAACATTTTACCTCCAACTTTAATAGAAAGAACAATATTACGACGTTTGTACAATAGGTATGAATTTTGACTAAATATAGTAGTATTACAATGATCTCTAGGGTATTTATTTTTACAACCTTTATTTGCTTCCATACATACATTTTTNTTTGCTTCCATACATACGTTTTTTGGATTGAGATTTCCACAAGGGCTGTGCATATTATGTTTAACAATAATAGAATGAAGATGAGTGTAGTTGTTTTTCTTAGGAATTTCACAAGGCACTATCTTATCGACCTCTACAACACAATTGATCTTATGTCCATTGTTGAAAATTAATAATAAGTGTGCATGACGAAGACCTCTTTTCTAAAATTTAATAATATATATGTGTGCAACAACTGGGCCTAAAATGTTTTTCTTGAATATATCATTTTTCAATTCTTTTAATTTTGCTTCAAATATACGAGCAATTAAATCAGGTCGATTTTAAACTTTGTCATTGTGTTTTAGTTCTTGTTTAATCTCAGGCTAATTTGGATTACAAGTTATAGTTAAAATATCTGATTTTTCGTAACGTTGAATGATAGTCATTGCATCCATATATCTTTTTAACATATCTATATGCCCACATGTAAAAGATTATGGCAAAACAAATTTTCTTCCAATTTTACACCCCCTTTCTTTCCCCATTTTTAACACTATCTATAGTACATTGATAAAGTTTACCACGAATTTATTTTTTATTATTTCAAAAGTAGTCTAACCTAGCAGTTTCTATTTCCACATGCATATCTACCACATATTGTTGGAACAATCTACCAGCATGAAGTAGTATAGACTTACTGGAATGCCTAATTTGTAACTTGTATGAATAGTATTCTCAACAAGAGACTTGAGTAAGTTTGATGAAGCACTGCATGAACAAATGAAATACTTATTTAGGACATTTATGTTAGAAAAGGAAAAAAATTTATGAAATACTATATTTGAAAACCTTCATTCTCCTTCTCAATAAATTCAACTACTAAACTACTTGTGCTAACAAAACTATCAAATGTTGATATATGTTCAGGTTGAGAGAATACGTTTCTGCATCTCTCAATGTCTTCATGCCAACCGCATTCTCCATATGAGAAGAGTAATGAATACTGTAACGGATCATAATAACCATAATAGTAATGAACTCTATGTGAATCACCACGATAGGCATATATAGCAATGTCACGAACATGAATATTCATATTTTCATTATCTTCAACCCATATGGTAGCTACTTGAGATGAAGTAGGAGTATTAAAAACTCTTTGATCAAGTCATATTACTTAAAGACTTGAAGAATTTACTATATGGATTCGCTTTCAAATTTTCAATTAGAATAGTTAAAGTAGATTCAACAAAATTTGATGACATTTTCATTCGCTTTTGTAATTCATTTTCTGTATCAAAAAAATATAATTTAATATAAGAAGACGAATTATTATTTGGCATAAGTT